ACCCCGCCCTGACCTCTGACCCCTCCTGTCCCCAACTCGGTGACCCCCCAGGGGTGACCTTAATACCAGGCCATGACCCCCCCCATAGCCTTGACCCCCACCGTGACCCTTGACCCCGGCCACGACCCCATTACCCTTGAGGGCACCCAAAAGAACCTGCTACGAGCAGAAATTGACCGTTTCCCCCTTTTTTTTCCTCAAAAAGGGGCATCTTTTTCTCACAACTCCCAGCATGGAAGGCCAGAAGGCACCAGAAAGGATTTTTTTCCACCCCAAAACCTTCTAGAAACAGAGAACATCACAAAACGCGGCCACGAAAAATGAACATTCGGCGCGTAACAAGATGAAAAAACGGAAAAATAAAATAAAAAGAATCGAGGCCCCCCCGGAGCCCCCCAAAATCACTTTACAGATAAAGGCGTCCGCCGCCTACGTGGGTTTAGTAGAATGAGAACCCAAAACACGTGCTAGGAAGATTCACAGGTACAGTTATGTTAAAAAAACAACACCACCAACGGAAAAAGAACAACGGAAAACGGACGGGAGGGCCGGGCGGCCCCGGAATCTACTCGGGAGACTCGTCCTCCGGCGCGGCCCCGGCCTCGGGGCTGCCTTCCTCGTCGTCCTCGCCCAATTCCTGCTCCTCTTCCTCGGGGAGCGACTCCTCGGCTTGCGGGGGGTCTTCCTCCGCGTTATCCGCGGCTTCCGCGGGGTCCGGATCCAGCTCTGGCGGCGTTTGCGCCTCCGTCTCTGTCCCTGTCGCCTCTCGTTCGCCCTCGTCTTCGGCTCCTTCTGCTTCCAGGTTCTCCTCGCGCTCCTTGTTTCCGTCCTCCGCGGTTTCCTCCTCCCGGTTTCCCTCCTCCTCGGGGTTCCCCTCGTCCTCCTTGTTGTCATCGGCGCCTTCTTCCGCCGTTCCTTCCTCCGCGTTCCCGACGGTGCCTCCTTCTCCTTCCTCGTGCTCCTCTTTTTCCTCAGCGTCGTCCGTGAAGGGATTCTCTCCCTGCAAGAGGGGAAGAACAGTCGCTTGAGGGATTCACGCTAGGGACACAAAAGCCCCATTCCGACACAACAGAGAAGCTCGGCTTCAACGTCGCTCAGCGGGACAGGAGATAACGGCACCAAAAATTGGGGGGGTTTTAAGTCTTTTTGAATGCTGGCAAACACAGACCATGCTGACCCACCAGCGAGTGACGTGGCACTGAAAAACCTGGAGTTTCCTTGAGTTTTGGCCAACGACAGCCAACGAGGGCCAACGAAGACCCACGAGGGCCAACAAAGACCCACGAGGGCCAACGAGGGCCAACAAAGACCCACGAGGGCCAACGAGGGCCAACAAAGACCCACGAGGGCCAACGAGGGCCAACAAAGACCCACGAGGGCCAACGAGGGCCAACAAAGACCCACGAGGGCCAACGAGGGCCAACAAAGACCCACGAGGGCCAACGAGGGCCAACGCAGACCAGAGAGGGCGAACA